AATACAATAAATAGGGAAGGAAGTCATCATATTTTCCCTATTTGCAGATGATATGATCCTATACCTGAAAGACCCTGAAAACTCAACCACGATACTCTTAGATCTCATAAGCACTTTCAGCCAAGTAGCAGGATGAAAAATCAGTGCCCACTTCTATACACAAACAATGAACAATCTGAGAAGGAAATCAGGAAAACACCACCATTCACAATAGCTTCAAATAATTAAAATACCTAGGAATAAATTTAACAAAGGAGGTGGCTGACCTATACAATGAAAATTGCAAGTCACTAAAGAAAGAAGTCAGACCAAGGTATGGCTCAAGCGGTAGAGACCCTCCTTTGTAAGCATGAAGCCCTGAGTTCAAACCCTAGTCCAATCAAAAAATGGTAACAAAAAAAAAAAGAGTTCTAAAGAAAGAAATCAATGAAGACATCAGAAAATGGAAGAACATCTCATGCTCATGGATTAGCAGAATCAATATTGTGAAATGACTATACTTCTGGAAACAATCTATATGATCAATGCAATCCCTGTCAAAATTCCAATGACATTCTTCACCAAGATGGAAAGCCAATCTTAAAGTTCATATGAAAGGACAAAAACCCTGAACAGCCAAAGCAATCCTGAGCCAAAAGAGCGACGCTGGAGGTATCACAATGCCTGACTTCAAACTATATTACAGAGCCATAGCAATAAAAGCAGCATGGTATTAGCACAAAAACAGACATGAAGACCAAAGGAATAGAACAGAAGACCCTGACACAAACCCTCACAACTTCAGCCATCTGATTTTTGACAAAGGTACCCAAAATATGAGTAAGAGAAAAGATAAGCTCTTCCATGAATGGTACTGAGAAAACTGGATTTCCACCTGAAGAAGACTAAAACTAGATCCCAGTCTCTCACCTTGTACTAACTTCAATTTAAAATGGATTAAAAATCTTAATGTAAAATCTAAAATGGTGAAATTAATCTGGGAAAAATAGGGAATACACTGGACCACACAGGCATAAATAATAACTTTATGAATAGAACTCCAGTAGCTCAGCAATTAAGAGAAAGCTTTGACAAATGGGACTACATAAAAAGCTTCTTCATAGCAAAGGAAACAGTCACCAGACTGACGAGACAGCCTACAGAATGGGAGAAAATCTTTGCCAGCTATTCATCTGACAAGAGATTAATAACCAGAATATTCAGGCAACTCAAAAAGCTAACTTCCCAAACAGTCAACAGCTCACTGAATAAATGGGTAAATGATCTGAAATGTCTTTTGAGACAGTTCTCAAAAGAAGACGTACAAATAGCCAATGAACATATGAAGAAATGCTCAAGATTTTTGGCCATAAAAGAAATGCAAATCAAACTTCATTGAGATTCTGCTTCACCTCACTCAGAGCGGCTACCATCAATAACACAAACAACAACAAATGCTGGTGAGGACATGGGAAAATGGAACACTCCTACACTGTTAGTGGAAAGCAATATGAAGGTCCCTCAAAATTATAAAACTTTTAGAAGAAAATATGAAAGACTATCTTTACTATCCTGTAGAAAATTATTTCTTGAAAATTGTCAAAAACCATGTATTTAAAGGTAAAAGAATGATAATATTAACTACATTAAAGTTAAGAATTCTGATCATCATATATTCCATAAAGAGAGCTAAAAGGCTATAAATTAGAAGATATTTGTAGTACATATAATGGATAAAATTATTATAAAGGGAACATAAAATGTATTATAAATTAGTAAGAAAAATGAAATCACATAAACAGCTCTTACTAGAGAAAATAAAGTTGGTATTAAACTGAATTAATTTTAGTCTAAACCTATCTCCATTCTTGGATGATACAACTGGCCCAAAACAGTCTCCATACACATTAAGTTGTTCTCTAAATTGATGTGTTATTGTAATCCTAGCTACCTGGGAGGCTGAGATCAGGAGGATCAAGGTTCAAAACCAGCCAGGGAAAATAGTTTGTGAGACTCCATTTCCAAAATAACCAGAGCAAAATGAACTAGAGGCATGGTTCAAGTGGTAAAGTGCCTGCTTTGTGAGTGCAAAGTCCTGAGTTCAAACCACAGTTTCATCAAACAAAACAAAAGGAAATTGTAATGTAACCTGAGTATATCTTGCAACCAAGCAACTGAATCTCAGCTAATCATAGGCTGTCAACAAATCAGACCATATTTATATAGGCAAACGGCTCATCACACCAGGATCATATGTGGCAAGTGTCAACCGAAGCCAATCAGTTTGTCTCTAAATGCCACTTCCTTTTCTTTTGCTGTAAATATAACCTGCACATGTATTGGGGTCTAGCATGTAAAGCCAACATCAGTCTGGAATACTGCCTAGAACCTTTTGTTGTTGTTGTTTGGGGTTTTTTATTTTATTTTGTTTTGTTTTTAGCAGCACTGGGGTTTGAATTCTGGGCCTCATACTCGCTAAACAGGCACTGAACCACTTGAGCCACACCTCCAGCCCTAAAACCTTTTCCTTGCTTAATTCATCTCATGTTTGTTTTTTAAACAATGGTCAATAAACATAGAAACTGATCCTCAATTAGAGAAAGTAAAAGACAGAATGAAAATGCTAGGAGAAATTACTTCACATCAACCACAATAGCAAAGATCTGCGTCTGAAGATATCATCCCTAGTCAGAATTTTAAATACCTTCAAACATCATTTGCTCTGATAGAAATGTAAATTGATAAAAAAAAATTTTTAAAGACATTTATTTATCATATATAAAAGAAAACAACAAAAAAGTAAAAAAAAAGACATTTAATCATGACGAGTAAAACTGAATATCTGGTTTTGATATGAACAATAATTTTGATACTGGATATATGCAGAAACTTACATGACTCTTGTAACATTAGCCAGGTGCAATGCTATTTAAAAACAGCCAAAAGGCAGAGGGGAAACCCAAATGACTAGCAATAGTACAATGGACAAAAAGTGGGGAAATTTTCACATTAGCAAAAAATAAACTATAACTATGTGTGTCAATAAGAAAGACTATCAAAATATCTTGTGAAAAAGAAGAAGAGCAAAAAATTTTTACATATCTATTAAATGTTCAAAAAATGCATTCAAAATAGGCAAAACTATGGTGGTAGAGTGGCTCAAGTGATAAGAGGGCCTGCTTAGCAAGTAGGAGGCCCTGAGTTCAAATCCCAGCCCTGCCAAAAAAAAAAAAACTAGGCAAAACTGAAAAACACTGAGGTTGCAAGACTATCAAGAAAAACAAGAGAATCATTAGGGAAAAAAAGGGCAAGAATCCTATCTAAGAGGAATAGCAGGGGTGTGATTGGTTAAGAGGCATAACAGAGAATTCCATGGTATTGCCAATATTCTACTTATCTTGAATTACATAAGTATTCTTTGCATTATTCATATTTTATTGGTATTCTATAACCTATACATGCACTTTGGATAATTTCTTATGTATCTCAACTATATTTCAGAATGAGTCAAATACAATAAAAGAGGATTCAAGGTACAACTAAACCACAAAGTGGTAAATTATTTTGATAAACCAGACCTAAGGATGTGAAGGAAGCCAGAAGAACGTGAATGGAGAAAAGCCTAGGGATAGGCAGAAGCCACATCTACAAGTTTCTTGTGTGCTCAGTTAAGGAATTTGGATTTTGTCCTAGAGATAATACCTCACCACTGATTTTCCTCAACATAACCTCTTATTTAATTTGTCTCACTTGCTGTGATCAAGCTATCTTCTGTATCAGGAAAGGTCTCAGATAAAAACTAATACAAGGATTGGTAATAAAGGTGTTACATCCTAAAGACACAAGAGTTGAGTTTACTCATGGATTAGAAAGTTAGTGAAAGAGCTACTAGCCCTGACTGCCAGAGGAAGCTATAACCTTGGGGCAGAGGACTCCAGGAGACGGACACTGCTCTGGCTGATACTGAACTTCCAGAGAAGAGACTCTGGGGTCTTTCTTTGGTTGCTGCTGCCCTTGGAGTCCTGCTCTGGTGGCAATGTCTTGGCAATGGCACCTGCACATCTGTTGCTCACACCCACTCTTCCACCACTGTTTATTGTGGCATGTCACCACCACCAACTCTGTAAGAGTTGCAGCCAGAAACCTGGAGGAAGCTGAGTGTTTTGACCCCTCCTCCTGATTTCCAAGCACTTTGACAACGCAGGCTACAGGGTACAAACATTCCTAAAATACATAGGAGAGCACAGAAGAGAAGGAATTAGTAAGTAATTGACAAACCTTCCTATGGCATAATTCTAATTATTTTCCCCAAACTTTGTACTTCACTGAGGTGAAGCTCTCACCTGCATTTGAGCCCATTTGTGTGGTCTCCTCCTCCTTAGTCTACTGTCTGTGCATTTCCAGTCCAGTCTACCCTTCAAGTCCCCATTCAGACAATATTTTGGGAACAAGATGTTCCCAATCTTGAAGCTTATCTTTCCTGCCCCTGTTCACTCATTATACTTTCAGGGTGAACTCCAGCACATGCTGGTTTAATTAATAAATCTTTACAAAGAAGACTAAATAAGCCCCATCCCGTAAAAGAGATTAAAGTCTGTACATGTGGAGAATCAGAAAACTAAGAAATTGCAACACAGTGTGTTAAATTTTATATCAGACATATCAGTTGTGATTCAACTGACTGTATTTAAGAGAAAACCCAACATAATTTTTTAAAGATATGCATCTATTTTTCTCTCCTTTAAGAACTTCCTTTCTATAGAATAGTTAGGGTCTGAGATGCCAATAATGTCCACTAGGTTTTCAGGTTTCTTTTTCTTTTTTGGCAGAACTGGGGCTTGAACTCAGGGCCTACACCTTGAGCCACTCCACCAACCTTTTCTTGTGAAGGGTTTTTTCAAGATAGGGTCTCCCAAACTATTTGCCCAGGGTGGCTTCAAACCATAATCCTCCTGATCTCTGCTGCCTAGCAGTTTTTAGGTTTCTTGACTCCTCTGTTTATGTTCTATGTATTTTAGCACATGGCTTCCACTCTTGGTCCAAGATGGCTCTTGGATACTTTGCCACCATATTCACCTGCTAGCTGTCTCAAGGAAGAGTGTGAAAACATTAAGAAGAGAGCTGTAGGTAAGTCAGATCCCTCCAGCTGCTGCAATACAGTAATTATACTCACTTTTTATTGACTAGGACTTAGTCATATGGCAGTATCTAGTTGCAAAGGATAATGGGAAATATATTATAATAATGTATATTAATGTTACCACAAGCAAAACTGGTTTTTTTTTTTTTTTTAACTAAGAAGAAGAGGAAACTGAATATTGGTTATGAACAGGTATTCTTAGTCACAAATACAGTAAATGGGGGAGGGGGGTGAGGTGACCCAAACAAAGTATACACATGTGAGTAAATGTAAAAATGATAAAATAAAAAAACAGTGAATAAATATATAGTATATGCATTCAGATGGATGAGGGGGTCAGAAACTCACATTTGGGAATTGAAAGGAGGATTACAAGAGGAAGTGATTTCTTCACTCATCCAAATTTGGCCTGACTTAGAAATATATGTCTACGTGCCTGTCTTTCCCATAAGACTATGAGCCCTGAGACAGCAGGCACTCTGTCTTCTTCATGTCTATAACACTTCAAAGAGGAGCTTTTTACATAGCAGACTGTTGCAATATTTTTGATAGAGATGAAAGTGCTGAAGTTTTTGAATTAGAAGAAGGGAAAATGTGTCATCTTGCTAAAGTTTGCACTGTCTTTGATTGGAAATGTGACTCAGTGGTGGAGCTTCTGTTTTGAGAGTGCCTGCTTTGCTAGTATGAAGCCCTGAGTTCAAAACCCCAGACCCATCAAAAAAGCAAACAACCAAACAAAAATTTTTCACTGTCTTTGAACGTCAATAAAAACAGCCTCGAGCTTTTTATTACAAAAGTGGCCTACATAAATAATTCTCTGAAATTTTGTAATCTTATTACTCTAAAATGTCTTCTTACTAACAGATAATCCACTTTTTTGCACATCTCATTGAGCAGAATTTCTCCCTCATCCCCCATTCCCACTCCAGCTCCTAGCCCAGCAGTCTTAACTACCCTAGAATATTAAAGACAAGCCAACTTCAAATTCTTAGATCATAGATCATAAGAGTGATATAGTCAAGGAATGGTGACTCAGAGTTACAGACACCATGACTTGCCATACTTTCTTTACTATTCCAAGAGCAAGTATGACTGTAAAACCAACATTTGGATACAGGTCATTACAATAACTGATTCCCAGATGAATCACATTAACTATTTCCGGATTTATGGGGTTACCTAAAGTTGAACGTGGCTACTGCTACTTAAAAGAATCTGAAACCCAAACTGAGACAAATCCCAACAACCAGGGGAAATTTAGGAGCAGCTGTTAACACACCTTCTCTTATTTCATTTGTTCAAGCTGGTTTAAGATTCCACACAGAAAGAATGCCTCTGTGAGATGACTACTGATTTACCCAGAAATGAAACTCAAGCTCTCATGGTTACTTATCTTCCTGTTGGGTATTATTTTAAATTACTAAGAAATGACTGTCTATGCATGTGTTAATTATAGAAGAGCTGATGGAAACTTGGCTATTACGTCTAGACATTGAGCCTGGATCGGCTGGAGACCTGTCAAGTGTGAACCTATATTCTATCTTGGTCCTCTGAAATGCCTCTATTTCCCAATTCTGAGACAATGTGACAGAGGCATGTGGCCAGCTGCCTCAACTCAGTATTTCTGTACTGAGTTGAGTGTGGAGGACAGAGAGCAGGCTGCACCCCTTCAGGTGCTGCCTGGTAGATAAGGAGAGTCATGTTGGAATGCGGATTTCCAAAAGGCCCTACATTGTGCTCTCAAGTGCTCTTCCCCAAATGAGCATCTTAGGGCTTTCCTTTATCTCCTGGGAATAAGAGATAATATTCTGTATTACATTTCCGGTTTTCCCATGTGATGATTTGTGAAACAGCTACAAAGACAAGGTCCAACTTACTGTTGAGGACCTTATCAGGCTAAACTGATAAGCTCATGAGGTCAGGTCACCTAAAGATACAAGGAGTGTGGCATTCGTCTCTGCAGTCTGAGACCCTTTGAGCACACCCTTTGAGCTCAAAGGGAGGGAGAAGAGATACCTTAAGAAAAAAAGAGATGGCTGGATAAGGTGGCACAAGCTTGCAACTCTAGCACTTGGGAGACTGAGGCAGGAGGATCTCCATTTTAAGGGTAGCCTGGGTTACATAGCTAGATTGCCTCAAAAAAACCCCAAAAATCCAATAAAAGGAAGAAAGAAAAGACAGAGAGGGGGAAGGAAGGGAAGGAAGAAAGAAGGAAGGAAGGAAGGAAAGAAGGAAGGAAGGAAGAAAGGAAGGGAGAGATGGAGGGAGGGAGGAAGAGAGGGAGGAAGAAAAAAGAAGAAAGTATAGAAAAAAAAGAAATGGTAATTACTCATTTCTTTTTTTTTTTCTTTCTTTTTGCAGTATTGGGGCTTGAAATCAGGACTTTCACTTTGAGTCACCCCACCAGCCTTATTTTTGTGAAAGGTTTTTTGAGATGAGGTCTTGTGAACTATTTGTCCAGGCTGGCTTTGAACTGGCTTTGAACTCTGCCTCCTGAGTAGTTTAGGATTACAGGTGTGAGCCACTGGTGCCCAGTAAATTGCTCATCTCTAAAAGTAGATTCCCAGAAATCACCAGTTCAGAACCTAAAATCCAGAACACCTAGTGGATTGAGGTATATGGTCCTGGGGGAAATGGAAAATGGCAGCTAAGAGCCAAAGCATCACAGAGCAGGACTGACCTTAGATTTTTTAATCCAACACTCTTGTGTTACAGAGATGTCTCTGGAGTCCCAGGACACAGAGAGGTTAAATCAGGGTAAGTTTAAAACCTAGTCCTGGTATATATCATAATATATTTGTGATTTGTTCAAAACAGAGGTGTAAGACAGGGATCTGACACCTCTTTCAGAGTCTTCATAAATCCAGTGGTTTATTGCCATGTTTGGCAGAAACAAGGCTGCATGTTAACTCAGACATAGTTTATTCACTTTTAAATGGAATTACATAGGTTTAGTGTACTCTATTTGTTTCTCATGGTAAAAAGAAATCAGTCTGGTGAATACAAAATGGCCCAGTGGAAAGAGTATCAATTAGAGGATTCCAGATGGTATATGAAAAGGATCAATTTGCTGTTTGACACTATTTATGTTCAGTAAATAGTAATTATTATCAATGATGCTATTACATATCAGGAACACCAGTTTCTAACTTTAACTTCAGAGGATAGCTCATTGAATCACTTCTCTATGAACCACCAATTCTTTCAGAGAAATCTCTTCTCTGCTTATTAAAAAATTCCTAGCTTGTCCACCTGGGTGCTCACATTCAAGTCTTAATTTAAACTCCTGAATCCTCTAAGAAAATGGCTCTTGCATCTTCTTGTCCTGAATTCCACTCTGTTCTTGGATACAGTTGCATCCTACATACATTTGTTGTGTTCTGAATGTTTCTGGGGTTGCCATGGTTTCTAATACTCATTTCTAATCTGCAGCAGGATATTTGAACTGAGAGGTTACCAGTGAAAGGGAGGGAAGAGCCATGGTCATGTCAGACTTCACAGCTTCATATGATATTGAAAATTATCAGTCAAACTTATATTTTTCTTATTTATAAAATAGGATCATTATACCTACTTCACAAGTTTGGTGTTAGAATTATATGGGCAAATGTATGTTAAAACAGGTAGATTATAATATATTAGATGTTATAGTACCTATTTATTTTCTTTCTTCTAGGATGCCCCATTATAAACACTAAATCATACCAGTTTGGTTAGCTCACCCTTTCTTAGCACAAACATCTTTACCACTTTCCTCTGGTCTCTTTCCAGACATTTCTCCTTTCTCTCCTTTTTAATCACTTAATTACATGTAGTTGTGGCAAAGAGTAAGGGGCTTTATGTAAACTAAACTGAACTAAACTAAACTGAAATTTTTGGATGAGCGAGAGTTTGCAGAAGGGATGGGCTGGGTCAGTCTTAGTCGCCAAAATAACTCCAGTGCTGAGCAAAGAGGGTGACCTAAAGTATGCACTCAAAACGTACTGGAGTTAAGCATGTAGTTTTACAATCTCAACTCTTCTTACTACTTCTGGACGTCAGATAAGTTATTTAACCTTTCTCAGCTCCATTTCCTTATCTGAAAAATGAAAATAAGAATGGAATTAAATCCTCAATTTGTGCTGAGTACTCTGATGGGCATGGTAAAACAATCAGTTTTTATATGGTAGCTTGAACAGAAATAAAGGAACATATAACAGAAATAGTGAGATGGTTGGCCTGAAATTACTTCAGATTACCTTCCTTGTAAGTGTTAAAGCAGATGGAACTTTCTTATTCAGGCTGGCTAAAATTAACCAACTCTCCTGATTTCTCAGATAAGATAATGTAGATTCAGTTTGAAGGTGTGGAAACTTAGCATGGTAACTCAATTTTGCTTTGGTCTGGTTTGTTGGAGCCCAGTGTAGGAACTGAGTCCAAAACAATAGCTTCCCTTAAATTTCATTCAACAATCCTCAATTGAGGATTTGATTATTTTGCTATCTTCCCTGCTTCCAAATACAAGAGATTACATGTCTCCTCTTCTACTGCTCCTTGTGACCTGTCCACGCTTCCCTCACAGCACTGCATATACTTGCTTGGTTGGCATCTATGGTTTATCTCTGCTAGATTAAGACCTTCCTGCTGCAGAGTCACTTCCATTTTTTACCTGCGAATGTAGAGAGCACGACAGGTCTTTGTTCCGCCCACTAGGTGACATTAATTGAGCTAGTTGGAACTGAAATCTTTGCCTTTGCTATACTCATGTTCTTGTTAATTTGAAAGTTCCCTCTTTTAACCTCTCATTGGAATTGTATTGTCAGTTAAGTTTCTTATAATTATGTCATTAACACAAAAACCAGGATTGAGTGGGGTGGGGCAGCCTTAAATGTGATTATAAGGGATTTAAAAAGCAGTATTGTGGAGCCATGCAAATCAGTACTGTGAGTCCACCTCACCATTTTCTCAGTGATCCTTTCTTAGGAGCCATCCTTGTGAACTGAACACAAGGTTTGGTGTGGCCAATTTGCTGACTGGAATGGGTGTGAGCTCGGGTAACTCTGTGGATGCTTCTAATTCTAGAAGTATCTGCGGGGAAAGCCTTGCTGCCTGCCCCATAGGCTTGGTTTTGAAACTAAGCAGAATGAAAACAAGCCTGCATTGTTCACGTATGTTTGAGTTAAGGTACACCTAACTTTTTAAATACTTTATTAAAAGAGCTTTTAAGGCCAGGCATTGGTGGTTCACACCTATAATCCTAGCTACTCAGGAGGTAGAGATTAGGAAAATGGAGGTCAAAGTCAGCCCTGGGCAAACAGTTCTCAAGACCCTATCTCAAAAACTCCCTTAAGCAGGGTGCTGGTGGCTCACGCCTGTCATCCAAGCTACTCAGGAGGCAGAGATCAGGAGGATCGCTGATCAAAGCCAGACCTGGGCAATTAATTCTGCAAGACCCTATCTTGAAAATACCTAACACAAAAAAGGGCTAGTGGAATGGCTCAAAGTGTAGGCCCTGAGTTCAAACCCCAGTACTGCAAAAAAAACAACAAAAAAAACTCCCATAAAAATAAGACTAGTGGAGTGGTTGGAGTGGTAGAGCACTGGCGTAGCAAGCATGAGGCCCTGAGTTCAAATTCCAGTGCTGCCAACACAATCAAACAAAAAAAAATAAGAGCTTTTAATATGATAATATTTTTGGCAAAATAATTAAGGCAAAATATTGAAAGCTAAAAATAAGAGAAAATATTGAATGGTAAAAAGAATCTTAGAAAAAGGCCCTTCCCATTGCATCTCTAAAGAGTATCTGCACATGAAAAATATCTCCATGCACATTGATATTACACTTTGAATTCGTTTTTTTAGAATTTAATTAATCTATACAACATGATATTTTGAAGTTACATGTCAATTCACATAAAATGCATTCTACACTGAAAAAGTTATGAGCCCCATTAGCACTGTGCAAATAAACTGTAAATGAGTTGATTATATTTTGAAAATGTTAGAGGCTTTAAAACCAGATGGACAGGTGAGTTTGTGTGTGGTTGGCAACTCGCTCAATTGTGTTCACACTATTGGGAATCCTCTCAATTGCTCTAAGCCCCTGATTCTCAGGGCTAATCTTGGTATCTCTCCCAGAGGTTTATGTGAGAATTAAAAATTAAAAATGCACATGAGAGTGCTACAGTGCCCAACTCCTACAAACGCCCCTAAACATTAAGATCATTATAACATCAAATAAAATAAATACTCAGTTTTGTTTTCCCTTTATCAGAATCTAGAGCTGAGAGTTTAAAAAACTGCTAGTGTAATAAGGAAACAGACCCTGGCGTTTCAGACATGGGCTCTACACTCAGAATGCCTGGATTTGAATCTTGACTCTAGGACTTGATTACTCTGATTGGAAGTAAATTCTTTAAATTTCATGATCAATGCACGTGGGTTGATATAAACATTGAAGTAATACATGCGGAGTGCTAAGCATAACAAGTATTAAATGCCAGTTCCCATCTTATGCCAATATCTCCCACCAGTAAACAAGACCAAAAGTTCTAGAACCAAGTATCCCGGCCAAACAGTGCTTCCCCCCTCCTCACCTTGTGGGACTCAGGTTTGAACTCAAGGCTTCTCACTTGCATAGTGGGTGCTCTACCACTTGAGCCATTGCACCAGCCCTTTTTTGTGTTGGATATTTTCATGAAGGGTCTCATTTTTGTTGCCTGGCTGGTCTCAAACAGAGATCCTCCTGATCTTTGCCTCCTGAGTAGCTAGGATTACAGGGTGAGCCACTGGCCCCAGCAAGATGAGTATTTCTGGTTAATACCATATCTGCCATTTCAAAATCAACACTGAAATTGCTTCACAGTTATAGGACATCTTGACTTGAGCTACTTTAGCAGCAAATTTTGAGTTAACTGGGCAGAAGGTTATTTGTAGACTTTATTATGCCATTTAGTGTGACCCTTTATCTGAGTCACTACAGAACTTTTAGGATGTTTTATAATGGAATGCTGTCTTAAGTCTTTAAGGACAGCTGGATGCCAGCAGTTCACACCTATAGTCCCAGCTCAGGAGGCAGAGATCAGGAAGATCAAAAGCCATCCTGGAAATACTTCTCAAGACCCTATCTCAAAAATACTCATCACAAAAAAGGACTGGCAGAGTGGCCCAAGTGATAGAACACTGCCTAGCAAGCATGAGGTCCTGAGTTCAAACCCAGTACCATACACACACACACACAAATCTCTGGTGATGTCAAAATGAACTGTTAGGTTATCAATGTACAGTGTTTTACTACATTGTCCTCAAAACTTCAAACTTACCTTTCTTTAGGTGATGGAAATGTCTTCTAATCAGAGAATGGTGATAATTGTACAATGCTGTAATTCTAAGTTCACTACCAGTCAGTGAATTGAACACTGCAAACAAGTGACTGTCATGGTATGTAAATTATCCCTAAATAAGCCATCTTCAAAAGACTTCAAAAAGCAAGCTGTGGAATAAGCCATGAATAATTCTGAGATTAATGAACACTGTTCATTAATCTCATCACTGAGGTGATGTTTAGTGTACAGCCTGAAGCGAGGCATAGCTGACAAAGACACCTGGGGGCCATCTACACAGGGTACAAATCCATTATGATCCGTAAGAAATTACTGTGAAATTTTTCACCAAGGAGAGAGGAAATGACATGACTAAAAAGAGTAGTAAAAAGAATTTATGAAAATTAATAAAATTGAAGACTAAGTCCAAATACTATTTCTTTTATATTTCTTGAG